GGGGCCAAGATATTTTGAATATATAATTAGAGTTTGAATTTTCAGGTGAACAAGGCTTCAATAAACTTAAGTATACGTCTTAGATATATTAGTACAAAATTACAGAGACTGAGTTAAGATCAACCATATGACTTATTTCTGTTGTGCTTAGCAATAGAGGATAATGAATGTTTATCATCGGCTCTTATTGGGTCAGTTGATTTTATTTATTTCTGTTCAAAGACTGTAATCTGCAAACTACTATTACTATACCTTATGTATTCATGGCTAAACACAAATATAAATTGATAAACACAGTAGAATATGATACAATCATTTAAATCCTATTTCAGTTTTTGATAAAGCATGAATCTTACTTTTTCAGTCATATATTATATTCGCTATACAGTATAGTGATTGTGGGTGGTTAATACTGTTATTGGTGCATTTGTTTATCGATCACACAGTACACTAGGTACTTGTAAAACATCCCACTATAAATTGATTCCTTCAACAAAAAAAAGCAAAATATTCATACTATAATATGTAGTTGATATCACATAGTGATCAATTTGGAAGTGAATAGAAAATATCCTAATAAACAATTTTGATCTCAGTAAGTCAATAATATTAACTCTTTATACTAATCATATTTCTCTCTTCCCTATAATCGATTACGTAATCGGTTAAAATCATTAATACCAAACAATATTTGTAAAAATAAATCAAAGTTGTAACTGACGCAAGAAAATCGATTAAATATGAAAATATTGATTAGGGAATATTGATATTCCTATTTAATATCTATCCAAGTCATTTGAGCATAAATGTTATAGAATCCACTATTCATTATTCATTAACCATAATGATAAATATTTCAATACAGTTAGACAAAAATCGACAACCCTGGCCAATGCAATAATATCACATGTCTATGCGCACATGCTAGTTCAGGATCAAATGATATGTGTATTATTAAAATGGATGAACGTTATTAGCTAGAATTCATTTTGTATTGTTTATTTGAATCTTCTCATTGACTGCAATTGATCAGTCTCTTATTGGTAATATGTTCATCTGGTACAGATTACCTTAATAAGTCACAAGCATTATAAGCAGAGATGGATGATGGCTAGCAGTGGAATCCAAGACTCGCGTTTTGGGATGCAGGTACATTCAGTTGACGAGTGTTAAATAAGGTGAAACATATGTCCTGGATTCTACTGCTAGCCACTATCCATCTTTGGTTATTAGTTAGAGTTGGCTTGATTATCCGATGGACACATATATACAAATGCTGAGTTTGTATTCGCTTCGGCTAGGTTTTCTATTACAGCTTCTTATCTATGCTTAGCCTTTCCATTCAAGTACTAGGTTGGGTTTGTATATAACAAGCTTGTATATCTGCACCAGAATCTTATAATTGCCTAACACAACAGAGATTCGGAATCTAAAGTTTCATGCTGTGTGACCTGCATTATTAATCTTCTAGAAGAATTGATTCTTTTCAATAAATTTCAACATACGTTATTTATTTTCCCTGTCAAGGATGTTATCACTGAGTTGTATGAACAGTGCTTCACGTAGTTGATTGATTAAATGAAGACCAGTGTTTTATGAAATAATGATCAATACCACGTAACGTTTATTTTGCTTTGAATAGTGAATGAAATGAGTAATAAATTGGAATCCAAAGAATTAGTTAGCAGATCTTTAACTCTATAATTTTATTAACTACAATTCCACTTGTTTGTCAGCTTTTAAATAACTTCTTCTTACTTTGTAAGTGATAAATTATCTAAGTTGTATGGGCTGGTGTCAGCCAATCATGAATTGCATAGTGATAATGTCTCGTCATGGTTACTCATATGCTTAGCTTATCAATGTAAAGTGAAGTACACAATTCAGCAGATTATTTTCTAATGAATTGTACCAACTTGTAAATCATCTCTTCTATATAAGAACGACTCTGCTTAATGTAAATGGTAGAATATTCCATAATTCAATGCATTTCTAACAATACCATTTTTAGGGACCTTTGTAACTCGGTCGAATTTGTAATTTTTCTGTTACCGTCCGTCAAAGTTTATTCAGAAATATTTTTCTTAGATATTTAACCAGATAACCACTGTAAACGAGGAATAGCTGTTTCCATTCTATCACAGGACTCCTCAGTTCTAAATAACCACGAATTCCCAAGGAGTAGAATCCAGAATCTTCAGACTTCTTTCAAATAGCATTAACCTTAGACTGCTGATTTGTTATCTAACAGTTCACACTCCTAACTTCAGTCGCTTGTCTAGCCACAGTCAGACTATAATGTGAAATACCAAAACATAAAACAATCTTTAAAACCTTAATCCCTGAATTATGTGTAAGTTAAGAATAAATGATCATTGTTTTCCATATGCTCCACCAATTATACTAATCAAACCCAGTTTATAAACTTACAATGAGTGTATACTATCATCTAATTAGTTTAGTGAAGAAATCAAAATGGAATCTAGCCTATATACATGACAACTGTTTTATTCTGGTATACGTTTAAAAGATTACAGAGAAAATGTTTGTCATTAAAACCAACAGTGTATCATGAAAACAAAACTAAACACTCAACAACTAAAGTGAACATTTAATTTTATTATTATTATCATCATGTGCAACCCAATTGATTACAATGGTTAAGATCATGAGTCACTTGAAGCTAGACCAACACCATGGAAAATCTGGGAGCACTGGACGGCCGTTTCGCCCGATTGTGGGACGCCTCGGCAGTGCGCATCCACGACCTCGCCCCCTGCGAGATTCGAATCCAGGACCTGCCGGTTTCGCGCACGAGCACTTAACCACTAGACCACTGAGCCAGCCGGCATCTAACGGTGTTAATGTCTAACTTAAACTAATCCACGAAATTGAGCCACACATCCAACATTGTCTTCAGTGAGTTACTATCTCACAACAGACCTGGTTGAACTCCACTGGTCACTACTTCTCACTAGAACTCCAGGATATACCTCTTCAAGCCAGTTACTAGTGAGCATATGTTGATTAATATCAGAAGGGGTTTTGTGGATTACACTAAGAAGAGGTTTTAATTTAGTCTACTAATTAAAGTTTAATGACACAATTTGTATAGTTTAATTTGTATTGAAGGGAAACCATTTTCAATCGATCATGAATTTAAAACCCTCTAGGGAATGCTTTACGAAAATTGCTAACATCACAGATTAATTTAAAGAAACCTGAACTCCAAAATGCATAAATTCTTACAATCTTGAAAATTTTTTGATCATTAACGTTGAATTCGTAGATACTGGATCAGAGATCCTAGAGATTCAACTATCAATATCACAAAGAGACTTTTCATCAGACTGAACCTTGAATAGTCTTCTCTAATGGGCAATTGATTAGGAGATGTGTGTAGAATAGAATGTTGCCTTAGACCACCTCCATATAGATTTACCATTTGCTTTTGAAAAACATTCAATACAACCCATATAAAGCGTGTTATTTCGAAACACATTTCTAAATATTACTTTCCTTGCCTGCCTAAAACTCGATAGAAGACAATCAGAAGCTCTACTCGTGAATATTTCATCAACCTCCTTCGTATCATCTCGCCAGAAGTATTTTTTTCAAAATTATCTAGAAAATCGGACAAACAAGCTCAATGACCATATGGATCATAAACTTGTTCACAATGGAGACTTGGAGTGTTTATTATTTCAAGCCTGAACTATATATTTAATACGTTGATAATTTCAATTCTTTCCATCATCACGGTAATAATCCCCCTGCTAATCTTGTCATAATTCTTAGTAGAAAAAGTACATTTTTTCACTCCTACATCATCTTCATATTTGTCAAGTAGAGAATTATTTTTTTATTTCTCACCTGTAATCTAATTATATCACTGATGATTTCCATTACCCTTTAGACGTCCAGTGCTTCCAGGTTTTCCATGGTGGTCTAGCTTCAAGTGACTCATGATTTCAACTATTGAAATTACTAAAATCTCCACAAAACCCCTTCTTTAGACTATTATCTAACATTTAATGCTTGAGATTTTTTGATCACTTCATTAATAACACAATACCTATCCTATTTGGTTATACACTACTATGTATTAAGTAACTATAAATAAAAGTGCACAGATTTGGTAAATAACATCCTCGAGATTTGTTTGATTGAATGATAAACGGCATTATGAAGTAGAGAGTAAAAATCGTTATTTTGATCCTTAATAGCCCAGTAGTATAAGATAGTTTTAGCAATTTTAATGTGTAAATATGATCATAGGTTGCCTTGGAATACTTGTCCAACAAGTTAGTACATTAACGCTAACCGATTAGTTCAATCCCGAAAAGATCCACCAACCTATGTATTATAAATCGTGAATGTAATCGAAGTCTTTTTCATCTATTAACTTATATTTATTACATGAGTAGTTGCATATGTAATCACAAACGTTTTCCGAACAGTGTTTGTTTGTTCATCCCAGTCTGTAGAATTACCGAATGAGGAAGAGTAACTAACCAATATGGTCAATAATTTATGCCAATGTATATAAATATGCATATATTGTGTTACTGCTTCAGCCAACTCTAAGAGACTTTTTAAAAAATAAAGTTCTTTTTAGGATGAAATATCCAGAAAACCAATTGTATTCAAACTTGAACTAAGCGTGGGTTTTATAGTAAAAGCTATACAACTATCTTATCAACTAACCATTTTGAGAGACAGACATGAAACTTAAACAATTGTCCCTCTTTTTTTTGATAGGTAGTTTAAATGAGAAACTGTATGTATGTGTATCTATGAATTGAAGCTAGAAAATTTCCTGAATGTTTCAAAGTGAGCTAGTGAAAAATTGACCGAATTTATCAAAATATTTCTCATTACCGATGTATACATTAATTGGCATGATTCAATTCAATGATTTGAACTTTTAATGAATATATCACTCTATACAGTATGTAGTATTTTTCTTCTTCTTCTTATTATTATTATTATTATTATAGGACAAACATTTGGGATTACAAATATTTACAACTTTTCACCATTTATGTCAACTAATTCAAATAGTATTTCATCTAAACAAGTAAAGTAAGTGATTGATCGTTTTGTATTTATCGTACTGGGTTCTTGAGTTCCAGTTGTTTATTTGTTGAAGATATAATTCTGTAGTCTCTTTGAATGAATATTTTTAATATTACTGACATTCTCAAGTTCATTTTACTTAAGATTAGAATTTTGATAATGTTTATATGTTGTGTTAATAATAACTTCGACACTGTGAATGAAACTATTGTTCACTTATAAGCAAAGATGGATAGTGGCTAGCAGTGAAATCCAGGACTCGCGTTTCGTCCTGCTTGGGACTCGTCACCTGGATGTACATGCATCTCACAGTTGATGTTTACTCTGGGACTCGAACCCAGTACTGTTCGCTTCAAACGCCATCGCGTTATCCACTTAGCTACTGAGTCCTGATAGCCACTTGCTTGTGCAATGGGGTGAAGTTTAATTCACTTGATATTGTTTTACTTGAATCTTCCCATTGATGTTTAGAAATGAAATTCATCAGTCTCTTATTGGCATATGTGCACTTTTTTTCTATCCCGATAACGTAAAAACCTCACTTGGCGAGACTGTAGTTTATTGGATGAACCAATAAGATATAAGATAATGAGTCTTGGATTTTGGCACGAAATTCATCTATCCATTTGGTTAAAAATAGCGTTATGGCATTATAGCTGATGTCAGTTCATGATGAAAACCCTAAATCTAATTCCTAACCTTAATCATTAACTGTAAATCATAATTCTAATTCCTCACACTGGTTTATAACCCTCATTTAGTCCTAGTTAGTAAGTGGACATCCTCAAGGTCACTTTAGCGTCGCTCAAAGGTCGTCCATAAATTTTAGTCTCATCTATATCAATAAAAAAAATGATTAGAATATCTAAACTCAATATTTGTCATTAACAAAAATTATCGTGCACACCCCCAGCAGAGTTAAAAGTGAAATCCTAGACTTACGTTCCGTTCTGTATGGATGTGCTAGTATCCTATTATTAGTGCATCTATTGAAACTCGAACCTAAAATACTTTAAATGAAACAGTAGTGAGTTATCTACTAAGTCCTGATTTTACTGGCAATATGGGCTGCTTGACTAACTAACTCAATAAGGGCTCTATTTTAAAGTTAATTATATTTTGAATATTGAATTCCCCAGTTAACCATCAACTGACATAGTCAACTTGTAAATACAGACAAAACCTATACACTAACAGAAACTGGTCAAATTCGTCCTTGTATATAAATAACAGTTAAATGCAAACTCTTACAAATAATAATGAAAATACCACTGTTTCTAAGAGTTTAATTATTTTAGCCATAAAGGTGGACATTCTATTCAAAATTTCCGTCATGTTTTTTGTAGTACTTTCAAAGTAAACATGATCAAAATGGCATTATCTTCTGTAATTAAATAACCATACTTTGTGGAACAGGAGTAAACTTGTCAGTAGATGTGTTTTCGATTGAGATCATGAATTGATCAATGTTAGACCACCGTTGAAAACCTGAAAGCACTGGACAGCCGCTTTGTCCTAATATGAGGCTCCTCAGTAGTGCACATCCACGATCCCGCACGAGGGATTCCAACCCAGGACCTTCGGTCTTGCAAGTAAACGCTTAACCCATACAGATAATTACCATGTGCTCACCAGTGACTAGCTTCGTTAGGTAATTCTCGGAGTTCTAGTGAGAAGCCGTGATCAATGGAGCTAATACGTGTCAGGTGTCTACCTCAGACAATAAAAGATGGTCGCGCAATTTCGTGAAAGGGTTGAAGTTAGACATTAACACCGCTGGATCTCGGCTGTGGTCTGGAGCCCAAGTATCTGTGCGCGATACTGAAGCCCTCGTGCGGGTTCGTGAGTGTGAACTACTGAGGAGTCTCATGCTAGGACGAAACGGTCGTCCAGTGCTTCCAGGTTTTTAATGGTGGCCTAGCATTGATCGATTCATGATCTCAATCAAAAACTTAACAATCTCAACAATTTCACGCTGATGTTTTCTCTGTTAACAGTGTTTATTACAATAATATATCACACGTAGTACAATCGAAACACATCTAAAAATATATATCTTTACTATGAACTTGTGAGGAACTTGTTTAATTGCAGTTTAAGCGATTTCTCAACAAATGGCTATCCACTATTCGTTGGTTTACATTAATCTTGAATCTAATTATTTAAAGATTACTGTTAAACCTGACGATAAAGTAGTCAAATATATAAAAGATTTTAGCAGAACAACGTGGATTTATTTTATTGCGTTGGATTTTTGTCAGCCGCTTACAACCTCAAATATTTGAGAATCACTACAAAATGCGTCGAGTTTAATTTAATTTGTGATGGTTGACATTATCTTATTGTTGGTATTTTTGTCAGTTTTAGTTGACATATGTGAATCCTGTAAAGATTGCCTCAATAAAGTTAATGTATCACAAGTTTAGGTAGAATGTAGCTAATAATGAATCAAAATACAGTTCAAGTATCGATAACTAGATAATCCGAACTATTACAAATTAGGTTACATTCTATACCCGTTGCACAAATAAGTGGCTATCTAAAGTTTTCAGCTAAGTTGGCAACATGTTGACGTTGGAATCCCATAGTGAATATCAACTTTGGAATCCAGAAACATTCTATTTATTCTATGTAGTAGTTTAGTTGGAAGTTATTTTGAAGATACATCAGTATAGTAAGGATGCAGATAAATTTAATAGACTAAATAAAATATCGTAAATATATATCTTATGTAAAAACAAAGCTTTTGGATTTTCTTTCATAGATGATATACATTTACAATATTTTACTTGGTCTATTAAATTTATTTACATCCTTGCTATACTATAGTCAGTCAGTCAGTAAAAACGTGGAACTTCGTACATACGTACATCAGTTCGAGTTGCCATACCACATTAGCAGAGATTCAGTTATCGATTCAAATTCCGTAGTGGTAGAGGTAGTGATAGGGAACATTAGGGTTTGATGATACCATACTATACTATGCTATAGTAATGTGTCTTCAACATAACTTCCAACTAAACTCTTTCATGAAAGCAATTCAAACCCATTTTGTAATTATGATTTTTAAATATCACAGGTTGTAAGCATCTGACGAGGACCAAGTGAAATAAAATGAATTCATGTTATTCTGTTTAAGAATTTGTTGCTGCTCTCTTCAAAATGATAAAGAGAACTAAGTGTATGAAACAAGATATACTTATAAAAGTCATGCGATATCATTTACAGTTTACCCGTTCGCACATACAAGTCGTCATCACTAATATTTTTATTCAGTAAAACTTAAAGTGCAAATGTTTTGCACACATTGAGAAGCTTTAAGATCATGGCCTTGATCCTAGATAAAGTAATGGTTACGTTTATTGTCAAGGGTCTCCCGAAAATACTAGGATAAAGAAACCGTACAATTTTCATTGGTTCTCCAGTTCATACCATGTCATGGTAATAAGTAACACCAAACCTGAACAACCTACAGAAAATAATCTATTCCTATAAAAAAATTTAATAAGTTCCTCTAAGTTCCAACTAACGTCAAAAAGTAGCAATATTAGCCACTATGTCTAAAAGTATTTCATTTTATTTAACAAATGATACTATATTAATTCGGAAAATTACTCATTTTATTACTTACTTAAGCTTATTCCCCTTCTTTGGAAATAGGCCGCTGAATGTACGTGCACCCCAGTGCTGAAGTTCACAGCTAGTTACCTTTCGCTCCCAAGTCTAATACGCTATCCCTTGAGCCATTGAACTCAAATAGCCGTCAATTTGTGCAACGGCGATAGACCTTAATATTTATCGTGATTCAGTATATAACAAATTATTAAATAAAACCAGCTAATCACGTACAAAATTACCAATAACCTTTTATTAATTGATGAGTTAAAGCTGCCAAGTTATCATTGATTAATATTTAGTTCCAACTCAATCAAGGTTCAAGTTAACATCAAACAGATACAGAGTAATGACCAATGTCATGTAAAATTATTCATCATTCTTGATACAGAATTCCATCAACTACGTTTCTAACATATTCATTAGACTAAAGTATTTAACATTTTAGTGCACTTTTTGATATTAGATGGTCAGATTAAATCGAAACGAAGACTTTAGATACAGGTTTCATACTACTCATGGATAGGATGTACTAAGGTACTGAAATAATGAGGATTATCTCCAGAAATTCTAGTCCATATCATAACGCTGACATGGGAGATGTTACGACTGAGTTATTCAAGTAACAATTAAACTTCTGTAGCATAGAAATGTTTAAATTCAGTAGTAACCAGTGTCATCAGTGATTTAAGCATCTGGCTGACAAGCAATAGACCGCAAGTTTGAACACTGTTCTACCTACTTTGAGTTACGGCAGTCTAGTAGAATTAATAACTACTGTATAAGTGTGGCTTGAAATAGAGCACATAAACCTGCACTTGGAAAGTGAGTTACGTTAGTTCATAACATGGACGATCAAGGCCGATTACACCCAATCATTTAATACCAGAAGCCCGAGTACGTTTGGATCCGATAAGGATAATATGAGTTATATGACGTAATAGCCATACGGTATTTTTTTCCTTTTCAACTATACACATATCTAAGCTGATCCAATGAAGGTAATCTTAACATCTAACGGACTTTCTAGCTTGTCAAAAGCTGTTGATCATCGCCTTGTCGTAATCCAACATCAGAATTATAAGATACACATTGATATTTCTTCTCATCAGTAGAATGACAAATACTTTATGGCTCTTTCCGATGACATGAAAGGTTTATTGTTTAATTGTATTATTTTTCAAATACGTTTCTATTAATCTAGCTCTCATAAGCTTGATATTTTACAAAACATTCATTCCATAAACAAATCCACACATTTTTACTCAACACAGAAATTAGGCAATAAAGTATAGCTTCATGTATTCAGCTTTAATTCGGAATGTTTATCTAAAGGCTATTGATACTACTGGTATCCGGCTACCTGGACAGGAATATACAAAGAACTAGGTTCGAACATGCGAACTACCGATTGAAAGTCAAACTACCATAAAGCTAACACTTCACTAGAATTCCTTGATAATACTTAGAGCATTTAGTCGTTATACTGATGTAATAATACAAAAAATGTCAAAAGTTTTGTAGTTGATTTAAAGTTGGTTAAATAGGTTCAAGTGGTACATCCTGTGCTGAAAAGTAAAATGTATATGACGAGTTTCGAACTAGTGGTACTACTGGTTTTTTAAGAGTCCGATACCTTACTGGAGTGTAAAATGACGCACTTTATGGAAACCATGGAACTCCATTACATGACAAGCATTAATTTGGAATTTTCAGGGCGAAAGAAAAAGATAAACCAAAAAGTATATTGCGCAGGGAATTGGAAGTAGACATGAAAAGGATGAATAGCACTTGTGAACAAATGGAAAGGAGGGCCCAGAACAGAGTTGGTTGGAGAATCCTGGTTGGTAGCCTATTCTTCATGAGGAGTAACCGGGGTAACTGAAACAACAAAAACTGAAAACAAGCAGTTTATTACTTGTTGAACTTAAACTTTATGCTTATTCGAGATCATTAATTCGTAATCTGATTTGTTTATTTACTCACAGGAGTGTTTTATCAAACGCTTGCCTATACAATGACTCAATTTCAAAATAATAACAATGAATAATCTCAAAAGTATAACCGGTGACTCAGTGGTTGTCTTTTAATTATGATTCAATAAACTTTTATTTATATTTACCTAAATGTCCAGTACTCACCAACCAACTAATTATAGTAAAATATAAATTTGTTAACTAAAGTACTTGCAAATTTTATTTTCAGACATCAAACTATTCACAATAAACGTACAAAGACCCCAACCACTTCCAGAAAAGAAGTTAGAGAGCCTTTGCATCAGCTAGAGACTCTAAAGAACGATGAAAATGCCAGATATATTTGGTTAACAAGACAAACACAACGAAGTACACCTGTTTTGAACCAGGAGCGTCAATATGGTCGGATCAACTTAATTTCCACACATCGAGGAGAATCTCCATCCAGAAGGGAGAAAAGTGAAACGTCTAGTGCAAGAGCGGAACACAGAGGAGGATTATTTAATGTACATATGAACAGTGGAATTAAAGCCCCGTATTACATAATACATCCGGAATGGTTAAGTGAGACTATGACAATACGACAACTTGGGTTATCACCTAGACCAACTCCATTGCCAATAACCAACTGTCTAAACGATAACCAAGTGAATAAACGGAGTCACACAACAAATTCTATTTGTCCAGGATCTTCAAGGAGAAACATGTGTACAGATTCATTAAGCTTAGGACAATCATCTTTTAACCGTTGTAGAAGTTTACCACCGAAGTCAATAAATCCCATAACATGGGACAGTTACGGAAATAATCTTTGAAAAACTGACAGTGAAACAATTGGTGAATTATTTTATTAAAGAAATAAGGCTTACAAAAAAAAAGCAATTTAATTCATTAAGAAAATAGAATTTTTCATTTCAAAGGTTGTTGAATAATACGTTTAGTATTATCGTTATGAGGTTTAGTAACTGTTGGCATTGGCTTATCATGATAAGCTTTGATACACCTGTCGTGACATTCAATTTCCTCCTAGAAAAAAAAGAATAAATAGAGATAATAGCGCTTCCCATAACGTAAATTAAAACACAAAAATATACAGTAATATTCATGCGATATGAAAATTTCAAACCAATCAAACCAGCTTATAAATCAATGACAACAACGAAATAGATAACATGAATAAAAAGTAAAAGAATATGAATCAATAGTAATATACTAGTTATGCTAAGAAACGAAAACCCTCACTGTAGCATTATATAATCATAAAGACAGAATCGGCTGGGTTATGAAGAATGAGTTAATTGTAAAGCTCAACACTTACTAAGTTATATTTATAACCATTCAAATTCTATTTTACCCGTATTTAACGAGTTAACTGAGAACATAATGAGAACTGAGAACCAGTAAAAACATTGAGCCTATGCCCATAAGGTTTCAGATCAACTTGTCAAACTTTACATAAATACAAATACCAACAACAAAAGAATATTAAAGCCTTCAATGGCAAAGAGTGGAAAGCATTCGTTGAGGAAACAAAACTATGTCCAAGATTTGAGGGAAGATAAAAAGTATACACAACTGACCTTAATGTATACCAGGGGTGAGTTTAGGGACAAACTATTGCCCAGCTTGCTAAAGAAATTTACAATCCCAGATCACAAAGTGCATCGGATACTTACAGAAGAATCGTCAATCTCAAAAGAAGGTGGTGACATAAGGAGACCTACCAAAGAAATAGATCCTAGTGTGAAAAACGAAAGTTCAGATGGCAACCAAACGTTTTTAAATTTTATAAATTATTTCCTTGATGCAAAAGAGTAGGGAAATGTTACGTAAACCTTCGACACTAGTGCTTTACACACATTTTTAGTCTAACACTAAGTGAATCGAACCAGTGTAGAACTAGTAATAGAGAATTAGGACAATTTTGAAAAATTATTAATGTTTTGTCGATCGTAAAGAAGCCATCCCAGTGCTTATAAGTGGGACATCTCGTGAAACCACAAGCGACTTTACCTGCCATTTTCATGGCATTCCGAAAAATAACATTAGCAAACATTTGATAACATTCATTTTAATATTTCTCATACGTCTTTCTGAAACCACGTATACCATTCAAACTGACTTCTCAAAATTGAGTACGCGGATGATATCGTCTTGCTATGATGATAAGCAACCCATGCAATCCACACTTAATAACTTGGGAATTAGTTTCCGTAGATATGGCATGTGTTATGCACCTTTGAAGTGCAAAGTACTTTTACAAAATTGGAAGAACCCTGAACGTGCACTCACCCTGGGTAGTGAGCAGATAGAATTAGCCGAGAAGTTCGTGTATCTGAGTAGCTGCGAAAGTTCTGGTGATGGCTTGAGTGATGAGATCAATTCATGTGATGAAAGTCTGAGTGGCTTATATCACTCTGGGCCGTTTTTGGCCCCTTCGTAGTGCTAGTTCGACTGTAAAAGGTCGAATTTACGACACGTCGGTGCAGCAGTTAGTTCTGTTCTACTTTACAGTCGCGAAACGTGGCCATTAAGAGCAGAAGTTATTCGTAAGCTACTAGTATTTGATCACAGATGTCTTAGAAATATAGCTCACATCTGCTGGGATCACTGGGTAAGTAATAGTGAGGTTAGACGCAGGGTATTACGAAACGATGGTAAATCAGTTGATAAGGTTGTAAATCTTCGTTGCTTAAGATGGCTGGATCCCGTGTTGCGTATGCCTGAACACCGATTACCACGATGCGCAAGGCTGACTAGCGTTGGGGATGGTTGGGAGAAAGTCAGGGACGGCCAAACCAAAATTTGGCATCAATGCTGAAAATCACTAACTTTTAGTCTGAGACATGTTGGTAGATGCAGACCATTTTGTTGGGGCCAGCGCGACTATATTTATTTTATTTAATTATTTGAACACATAAATATTGGTACAGGGGGGCACCAAATATATATGCGCCACACAAAACAATGATAATTTGAAGAGAAGGAGAAAAAAAAGTAATGAACGTGGGGAATTATAAAAAAAAGAGAGAACAATCATGGGGAAAACGGAAAGGTACAATCAGAAGAAATCTTTCAGTTAAGGAAGAAGCAACCACTTTTTATGAAGAAAGTAAAAGAAGGTTACAGCAGGATCGCCACTGGCTTCTATTCTGAGCCATATCTGATAACGTCTCTAGCCACTGCGTTACACCGTCTTTCGGACCCCAGCCAGGGAGTCGTGAAGGACCAACAGAAGCTAGCCCTTTGCAGCTTTCTTTCATACCACGACACCATGTCATATACTGACCGCCTCTCCGCTTTTTCCAACCAGTCCCAGAGTCGGCAAATAATGCACGACATGGAATTCTCTGGGACGACATTCGTAGAACATGTCCAAGCCACCGAAGTCGGTGTTTCAAGATGGTGACACCAATTTCATTATCGTCTCTTTGACCGAACACACGATGCCGGACCTCTGCGTTACTGATATGGTGTTGCCACTGGAAACAGCTCTGGCGGATGTAAGTAATGGTGGTGTGGATCTGTTGCCTGGAGAAAGACTTCTCGACCTTGAGTATGCGGATGATATTGTCTTACTGTGCGAGAATGTTCAAGCCATGCAATCCGCACTTAATCAGTTGGCAATCAATGTCCGTAGGTATGGTATGTGCTTCGCACCTTCGAAGTGCAAAGTACTCCTACAAGACTGACAGGATTCTAATCCTGTACTCACTCTGGACAGTGAGCAGATAGAAGTGGTTGAGAAGTTCGTGTATCTAGGTAGCTGCATAAGTGCTGGTGGTGGCGTGAGCGATGAGATCACTGCACGTATAGTGAAAGCCAGAGCGGCTTATGCCAATCTGGGCCATCTTTGGCGCCTTCGTGATGTTGGTCTGGCTGTAAAAGGTCGGATCTACAACGCGACGGTGAGAGCAGTTTTGCTCTATGCTTGTGAAACCTGGCCTCTCCGAGTTGAGGACGTTAGACGACTCTCTGTGTTCGATCATCGTTGTCTCCGAAGGATTGCTGGCATCCAGTGGCAACACTATTTCAGTAACGCAGAGGTCCGGCATCGTGTGTTCGGTCAAAGAGACGATAATGAAATTGGTGTCACCATCTTGAAACACCGACTTCGGTGGCTTGGACATGTTCTACGAATGTCGTCCCAGAGAATTCCATGTCGTGCATTATTTGCCGACTCTGGGACTGGTTGGAAAAAGCGGAGAGGCGGTCAGTATATGACATGGTGTCGTGGTATGAAAGAAAGCTGCAAAGGGCTGGCTTCTGTTGGTCCTTCACGACTCCCTGGCTGGGGTCCGAAAGACGGTGTAACGCAGTGGCTAGAGACGTTATCAGATATGGCTCAGAATAGAAGCCAGTGGCGATCCTGCTGTAACCTCCTTTTACTTTCTTCATAAAAAGTGGTTGCTTCTTCCTTAACTGAAAGATTTCTTCTGATTGTACCTTTCCGTTTTCCCCATGATTGTTTTCTCTTTTTTTTATAATTCCCCACGTTCATTACTTTTTTTTCTCCTTCTCTCCAAATTATCATTGTTTTGTGTGGCGCATATATATTTGGTGCCCCCCTGTACCAATATTTATGTGTTCAAATAAATAAATAAATAAATAAACAGGAACAACGTGAACCCTTTTTAAAGATAGTCACCACCATCTTTAAAAAGAGCCGGAGGTAAGTCGTCTGGGCCCGGTGATTTGTAACGTTTCAAGAGTTGGAGTTTCTTGCGGACTTCCGTCTCGTTTGGTGGATCAGTCGTCACCGGCCATGGAGGACAGGACAGTCTGACCGATGTCGCCGGAGCAGCAGGCCAGTTGAACTGCCCTTCAAAGAATTCTGCCCATCGTCCAAGACGTCGGTGGATGTTAGTGATTGGCATTCCGTCATCCTCGCAGATTGTTTCGCTCACACCAGACTTCTTGCTGCCAGTGGCTCGGATGAGTTGGAAGAGCTTCCGGTAATTACCAGATGCAGCTGCTGCTTCCAGCTCATTAGCACGCTCCGACCACCAGGCTTCACGGTCCTTACGCAACCTTTGCCCGATTTCATTACGTAACATCCTCCGTCTGTGGTCAAACTCACGGTCACCCAGAGTAGACCGACGGGCTTCAATCAGTTGTAAGGAACCAGAAGAAACCCAGTGCTTGTGAGCGGGACGTTTCGCGAACCCACAACAGACTTGACCCGCCATTTTCATGACGTCATGTAATTGTAACCAATGCTCATCTATACTTTTCGGTGGAATGGTAGCTAGCGTAGAAGCTAGCTCGGTTCGGTACTTACTAGCAACGGAAGTTGCAGCCAGCTTGCTAACATCAATCCAAACCGAAGCAGGTGGTTTTCTTAGGCGGCCACACCCCGAGCCTTTGACCTAAAGGTCTAGTCCACAAGGCAGTGGAGCATCGTGAGGAGATGCAGTCCCATGGAAGCCGGTGACCAACGATTGGTTCATACGCCATTTGTTCCCGCAGGATACTGGGGTCCATGGGCACCATTGAATTGGGATCCGGTTATAGCGCCGGACATTCGCTTTTCGTCCTCTCATTTTCTTAAACAACACCCCCGCCACGAGAAGGCAGTGAGTAGGACTTCTCTGGCAGAGGCTGTATACGCGTGGCCGTGTGAGAGTATTTCGAGAGGGAGGGCGAACCTTCCCCGCTCTCGGCCATACCAGGGCATTTGGGGGCAAAAGCCGACCCCGACGGGACTCGAACCCGCAATCCTCTGATCCGAAGTCAGATACCTTATCCATTAGGCCACGGAGCGCGACTATCGTAACCAGTGCTTGGAAACTGGGTGATGTGGCTCAGAATCGATCATAATGGCGTATGTGTATACACTCTTTGTCTGCTCTTAAACCGTTACATAAAAAATACGGCAAGATTATAATTTATAGACGAACCAATCAGATTTGGGAT